CATCAAATAAACAAATCATTCTAAATATATTCCTACACCGAATCAGTGAGACGTGTCAGCAGCATTTGACTACACTTTATTTTATGGCGTCCTTGTTACAGTGTAATTATACATTTAAGTGCTGAGTAATATAAATTAACTACACATACTTACTATAGCTTTTTGGATAAGGGCTTGATTTACCATTTACTATTACTAATTACTGGTTTACTAATTTACTATTACTACTATAGTAAGTATATTTAACATACGTAACAAGGACACAAAGAAAAACAATGTGTTACCCAGCATTCTTCACAGGGTTACTTGTACTTGCAATGGCAGGACTGTACCCAGAAATAGTACTACACACTTTTAAACTTGCTGCGGAGTGCTGATGCATCCATACCATTATTCTCTAGGACCTCTGGAAGAGATTTGGCTGCTGGTGAGGTCTCCGGGACGGGCACAGGCGCTGCTTCAGGGGCTGGTGCGGACGCTGGCTCTGCGATGGGTGCAGGTGCTGGTTCAGGGGTTGGTACAGAAACTGGTTCTGGGGTGGGTTCAGATGCTGGTTCAGGGATGGGCACCTCGGGGACGGGTTCAGGCACTGGTTCTGGTTCTGGGACAGACTCCTTCACTGGTTCAGGCACTGGCTCTTCCACTGGTGCGGCCACTGGTTCTGGTGACGAGGCGGGTACTTGCTCAGGCTCTGGCACAGGGATGGGCTCTTCCACAGGTGCAGATGCTGTGACATCTTTGTGTACAGGCTCAGGCTCAGGAGCTGCCTGTAGAGACAACGAAGGTGGAGACAAAGAATAACAGTCATTTAAGCTCATTTAAATGCAGCTGATAATGCTGTAAATCTAAGGTGTGTTGAATTCAGGTTAATAGGGACATTGAGGTGGCTCGGGGGGAAAAAATGACTCAATTATCTTGAATTTATCCAATGATAATTCGTTACTTTTTTGTAGTCAAATTTTATTTTTTTTTCTGGCAAGATAATGCTTGGATTTCTTTATGTAGAAAAACTTATGTTTATCATGTCGGACATCAGAAATAATATTTAAACATGACAAAACATAGGACAAAACAAAACAAAACGAAATCAAATCCAGAACAAAAAACCCAGAACAATCCAAGGCCCAGAACAAAATTTAGAACAAAACCCAGGACAAAAACCAGAACAAAAACAAAACCCATAAAACGAAACCTAGTAAAGAAAAAGAAAAAAAAACTAACAAAACCCACAATAAAATCCAGAACAATCCAAGGACTAGAACAAACCCCAAAACCTAGAACAAAACAAAACACAGAATAATTCAAGGCCCAGAATGAAACAAAACCTAAAACAAAACCTAGAACAAAACCCAGGACAAAAAACCTATAACAAAACAAATACCACAACACAAAACAAAACCTAAAACAAAACAAATCAAAATCCAGAACAAACCAAGGGCTAGAACAAACCCCAAAACCCAGAACAAAACAAACCCCAAAACAAAACAAATAAAAATTCAGAACAAACCCAGGCCCAAAACAAAAGCCCAAACCCTGGACAAAACCAGAAACAAATCCCAGGACAAAACAAAACCTAGAACAATCCAAGGCCCAGAATTGTTTATCATGTCGGACATCAGAAATAATATTTAAACATGACAAAACATAGGACAAAACAAAACAAAACGAAATCAAATCCAGAACAAAAAACCCAGAACAATCCAAGGCCCAGAACAAAATTTAGAACAAAACCCAGGACAAAAACCAGAACAAAAACAAAACCCATAAAACGAAACCTAGTAAAGAAAAAGAAAAAAAAACTAACAAAACCCACAATAAAATCCAGAACAATCCAAGGACTAGAACAAACCCCAAAACCTAGAACAAAACAAAACACAGAATAATTCAAGGCCCAGAATGAAACAAAACCTAAAACAAAACCTAGAACAAAACCCAGGACAAAAACCAGAACAAAAACAAAACCCAGGACAAAAACAAAACCCAGGACAAAAAACCTATAACAAAACAAAACCTAGGACAAAACCCCGGACAAAAGAAATACCACAACACAAAACAAAACCTAAAACAAAACCTAGAACAAAACCCAGGACAAAAAACCTATAACAAAACAAATACCACAACACAAAACAAAACCTAAAACAAAACAAATCAAAATCCAGAACAAACCAAGGGCTAGAACAAACCCCAAAACCCAGAACAAAACAAACCCCAAAACAAAACAAATAAAAATTCAGAACAAACCCAGGCCCAAAACAAAAGCCCAAACCCTGAACAAATCCCGAAACAAATCCCAGGACAAAACAAAACCCAGAACAATCCAAGGCCCAGAATGAAAAACAAAACAAAACCTAGAACACAAATCAAAATCCAGAAAAAAAACCAAGGGCTAGAACAAACCCAAAAACCCAGAACAAAACAAAACCCAAAACAAAACAAATAAAAATCCAGAACAAACCCAGGCCCAAAACAAAAGCCCAAACCCTGGACAAAACCAGAAACAAATCCCAGGACAAAACAAAACCTAGAACAATCCAAGGCCCAGAATGAAAAACAAAACAAAACCTAGAACACAAATCAAAATTCAGAACAAACCCAGGGCTAGAACAAACCCAGAACAAAACAAATCCCAGAATAATTCAAGGCCCAGAACAAAACCCAAAACAAAACAAACCAAAATCCAGAACAAACCCAGGCCCAAAACAAAAGCCCAAACCCTGAACAAAACTAAAAACAAACCCCAGGAAAAAGCAAAACCCAGAACACAAAACAAAACTTAAAACAAAAATCAAAATCCAGAACAAACCAGGCCCAAAATAAAAAAAACCAAGGACAAAACAAAACCTAAAACAAACCAAGGCCCAGAACAAAACCCAAAACAAAACAAACCAAAATCCAGAACAAACCAGGCCCAAAATAAAAAAAACCAAGGACAAAACAAAACCTAAAACAAACCAATGCCCAGAACAAAACCCCAAACAAAAACCAAACAAAAAAAAAGCCCATTCATACATTGCATACAGAACACTTTACAACTAACCACTAAATTCAAACATTCATCTCAGTAGCCAGCAGCACATTCTGCAGAGCTTCATTCCCCATGTGGCTAGTGTAGAGTGCCTGTGTGACAGCTGTCATCTGCAGTCTGTCGTCCTTCCTCTTCTGCCTAAACACACACCTGTCAACGACAAGAGGACAAAGCTTCTGCTTCTTCTGACTAACCCTCATCCAAACCCACTTCACTGCTTCTGCCGGCCATGAAAGCTCTCAACTCGACCGCTTACATGCACTCCCAGAACCCTGCGAGAAACAGGTGCACAAGCCTTCCAACCACCAAGTGACTTCCTGACCATTCATGGTGGTTAGGGATTGGAGGCTAGTGGGCAAAAAGAACAGCGTCATAGATTTCAGATACAATCCATGTGAGTGCTGGAAATATCAGTTCATTAATCCTATTAGTAGCCAGACCGAATCTGCAGCCTCACCACTTTTTACAGGGTGGAAATCAGCAGAATAGATCTGAATTTGAAACCAATACTAATTCATCACACCATCATACTCGGTGACATGGCCTCAATCGTACTGCAGCACCACCTTACACCATTCAAGAGCAAGGTGGAGACTGGATTGAATTGGCGTCTGTAGGGATTAAGGTTATCCAGAGAGGTTAAATTTAGGATTAACTGTAGATTTGTTCCATTATTAGATTAGGTGACACAGAATGCCAACAACAAGCTGGCGATAGAGAATGACAATAAGAATGACAGCAATACTAAGAGAAAACCACAATTTTTCTGAAGGGTTACAAGATCATTGCTATGCAGTTTCTAAGATTGTAGATATGGCTTGGGTCCCGAGCGTTTTTGTGCATTTCATTATCCACGTGTCAAGACAGCTGTTACCAGAATAGCAACTCTACTCCTTCTCTGAAACCAAACTTTATCGCTTCAAGAATGCTGGCATCCGCTGACCACCAGCAGATGGTGCATTCCATCTCACACAAATACACAATTTATGTGTGCGAGAGTGACTGAAGTAACCCTCAAATCCCACTGACAAACTGCTGAAAGAGATTCTGCTACTGGATTTCAGAGTTGAGAAATGATTCAAACGCACCAAGACGAGCAGAATCAAAATGCAAAAAGGTCAATAATTAAACTTCATTAGTGGTACTTACACATACAAACATTTTTAGTGTTGCTTACAGTGAGACAACAGAACTATAATCCATCAAAGCCTGTGCATTAGTGATTTTTTTGGCCATAGCAAAAATTCTTCCACCATATTATATTGTTCATTAGACAAGCAATGTAGAAACTTGGCACATTAAAAGGAACATTCCAGTTTCAAGTTAAGCTCTACCGTCAACATTAAAGACATTAAAGACCACAGAAAACAAGTTTAACTCAGACTTCGGTTTAAACAAACAATCAGAATGAGAGTCTTCGAGGCACTGCAATGTACACTATATGGACAAAAGTATTGGAACAACTGACCATTACACCAACAGTGACTGTTGCAAAGGGCTATGTATTCAGACACTCTTAGGTAATAGTTATATTAGTACGGTTTTTCTTGCTGAGTGTTGGACTATTCAATGACTGTGGACTGTTACTGCCCCCTTGAGGAAATACGGAGTATGCTAGAATGTGCTGGAAAGTGCGTCATAAGAATCATCAGTTGTTGGTATGAATCCGTAGAGTGTGGAGTGCATGAGAGTTTTCCTCATTTCTAGTGGTGTCGTTTAATCGTGTGAATGCATCTAAAAAAAAAAAACACCCACATGTTTGCATATGCTAATGGAAATAAACCTTCTCTGAAGCAAGAAGCATCTTCGTTGCGTTTTGACCAGACGTACCACAGTGATTAATTCAACCCGAACCACATTAGTAACTACAGTACAGTGACTTTAATGAAAACTAGGGTTGCAAAAGGCGGAAAATTTTCTGGAAATTTTCCACCTCTTTGCAACCCTCATGACAACACATTTGTCCCCCTAAATACACTGGTTTTGGGGTGTTTCAGTGGGAAATTTTGCCCATTCATCCAGTAGAGCATTTGTGAGGTCAGTCACTGATGTTGGACGAGAAGGCCTGGCTCCATTCCTGGCTGTTTGATGTGGTTGAGGTCAGGGCTCTGTGCGGGCCAGTCGAGTTCTTCCACACCAAACTCATCCAACCATGTCTTTATGGACCTTGCTTTGTGCACTGGGCCACAGTCGTGCTGGAATAGAAAAGGGTCTTCCCCAAACTGTTCCCTCAAAGTTGGAAGCATACAGTAGCATTGTCCAAAATGTCTTGATATGCTGAAGCAGTAAGATTTCCCTTCAGTGGAAGTAGAGGGTTGAGCCCAACCCCTGAAATACAGCTCCTTATCATCATCCCTCCTCAACCAATCTTTACAGTTAGCACAATGCAGCCAGGCAAGTAACGTTCTCCAGACTCACCTATCAGACTGGCAAAAACAGAGAAGTGTGATTCGTCACACAACAGGTTTCTACTGCTACAGAGTCCAGTGGCGAGTAGCTTTACATTAGGACTGCACGATTAATCGAATGCAATTGTCATGCGTATCTTTTAATGAAGCACAGTTCTGTGATCAGTAGTAAATCTCGGCCGGAAACTAACAATGAAGCAGTAGTTCACTCACAAGCTACGCAAAACCGCATTCATAATCGCAGACCGATTTAATCGAGCGAGTATGAAATCGTTCTGCGATTATGAAAGCAGTTTGCGTAGCTTGTTAATGAACTACAGCTCTGTGTAGTAAA